GAGAATCTTACGGAGCAAGTTCTTCTAACACAATCTGAAATAAATGTGTTGTTTGCATGCTGCAGACACAAGATGTGTGAGAAAGACTTCAGAGAGACATTTGGACCACCTCACACATGAGTCTGTCAGAGTTTCAGCTTTCATGATCATGTCTGGTACGCTTCAGAGATTCAATGCCACCATAAATGTTGTCTGTTCACATAGGCCATTACCATTGCAGCAGCTAAATGAGACTATAATTATATTTCATCCTTGTTTACATCAATATGCAGTGAGCACACTGTGTGCCAAAACTGACACATTTCAGAGTACAAGATGCTGAGTTTAGTAAACAACTGGTTGTATTCAGTCATTTTAATTTCTGCAATCTTCCCACAGTGGGTCTCTGAAGGTTTAAGGTCCAATAAAGAATGAGGAAACTCTCATTTTGTTGGGTTTCTCAACAATAGAAACATGATTTGCAGGAACTGGAGCAGACGGTATGTTTCGATTTGAATGCAATCGAGCCTTTTTAGGATGAAATTGCTAAATATCACCACCTGGTTAATCAATTAAACAAATTAAGAGTTTCAAACTTTACTGATGCACTATAATGAAAGAAGCCTGTGCTAAATTTAGAATGAAATACTAGTGTACTGCTTACTGTGCAAGTATGCTACATTGTCACACGACCTTATTATGTGTGCTTGTTTGATTCCATTTATTTCATTACAAATAGTTCAAATGCATTTCTGAAATCCAGTCTGGCTTAAAATGTCTGCAAATCTGCATGGTGAAAATATAATAAAGATCACAGTTTTAATGCAACTTCCAGTTCATTAATTATGTTAAGTAAAGTGCTTTGCATTATGGGATACAGTTTCAATAGACTGCTGCATATGCACATAAAGACAAATATAGCAAGTTATAGCAAGGTATTCTACTGTATGCACACTGAAAATGTGCATACTATGCAAGGTATACTGTAGAAATAGTATAGCATACTCAGCCTCATTTTAACACACATTTCAAATCTGTTATTCTAAATGCATTGTCATGCTTCTTATAGCAGCTACACTCACACTGCTGAGATTCACAGGTTAAACCGACTGTCAACAGCTATTTTGCAGAGTAATCTTGAATATCTCAAGCAGGCACATCATAAACTGTGAATGCATTTGCTCACTGATAATTGCAGTTTGCAAAACCATTAATGCTGCACAAATAAACACTTCTGCTGCAGGCCAGACAGCAGCTGGAGTCTGTCACTTTCATTTTCCCGTCCCTTAACAATATTTTCTTGAACAGCACAGAATGGCTGTTGTGCTCGATTCTCGCAGGAGAGGCAGTGCAGTCTCGGCTCTGTCCGGGACAGCGGCGCAGGAGACAGTGATTACCTAAGCGAGTAATCAATGTGGCCGTAATGAATGATCTCATTGTGTGCGCAAACGTGCTGGAGGAACAGAGGCGCTCTGTGCTGCCCCTCGCGGAAATCACTGCTGCTGATGGGAGTATTGAGTTGCACTGAAAAAGCAAAGCAATTTTGGCTGCCTCCTAAAGCTCTTTGATTAAACTAATAACAGTGGAGACTACAACACAGACGTCCTGTCACAGAAGTGCTATGCGTGTGTCAAGCAGTCACAACAACAATGCACATGCATATACATATGGAAGCTCATTTATGCCATGGAATAAAATATTTTTGTTTCACAGTTTGAACTTTTTTTCCAGAATTTTAAGTTTACATCTCACACTTCTTATTTTTCCCCAAAATTCTTAGTTTATACAGTACGTTGCAATATTGACATGTTTCCTCTGAATTCTGAATTTACATCTCTGAATTCTGACTTTTTTTCTCCAGAATTCTGAGTTTTTCGGAATTCTGGGTTTATAACTCGCAATTCTGACTTTTTAAGTTACAATTCAGAGTTTATATCTCACAATTCTGACATTTTATCTCACAGTTCTGAGTTTAAATCTCACAATTCTTTCTGACTTTTTTCTCTGAATTCTGAGTTTGCATCTCGTAATTTTGACTTTTTTTACACAGAATTCTAATTCTTGCAATTCTGTCATTTTTCTCCAGAACTCTGAGGTTACATCATGAAATTCTGACTTTTTTTTTTACTCAGATTTCAGGATTTATTTCTCGCAATTCTGACATTTTAGCTTACAACTTAGAGTTTATATCTTGCAATTCTGACTTTTTTTCTCTGAATTCTGAGTTTACATCTCACAATTGTGATGTTTTGTCTCCAGAATTCTGGGTTTATATTTTGAAATTCTGACTTTTTTTTACTCTGAATTTAGGATTTCTCACAATTCTGACATTTTAGCTTACAATTAAGTGTTTATATCTTGCAATTCTGACTTTTTTTCTCTGAATTCTGCTTTTACATCTCGCAATTCTGATGTTTATCTCCAGAATTATGGGTTTATATTTTGAAATTCTGACATTTTTCTTAGATTTCTGAGTTTAGATCTCGTAATTCTGATGTTTTTCGCAATTCTGGGTTTATAACTTGCAATTCTGACTTTTTAAGTTACAATTCAGAGTTTATATCTCACAATTCTGACATTTTATCTCACAGTTCTAAGTTTATATCTCACAATTCTGACTTTTTTCTCTGAATTCTGAGTTTGCATCTCGTAATTTTGACTTTTTTTCCACAGAATTCTAAGTTTACATCTCGCAATTCTGTCATTTTTCTCCAGAACTCTGAGGTTACATCATGAAATTCTGGGTTTATATTTTGAAATTCTGACTTTTTTTTACTCTGAATTTAGGATTTCTCGCAATTCTGACATTTTAGCTTACAACTTAGAGTTTATATCTTGCAATTCTGACTTTTTTTCTCTGAATTCTGAGTTTACATCTCACAATTGTGATGTTTTGTCTCCAGAATTCTGGGTTTATATTTTGAAATTCTGACTTTTTTTCTTGGAATTCTAAGTTTACATCTCGCACTTCTGTCTTATTCTCCAGAATTCTAAGTTTATATCTTGGAATACTGATTTTTTCCTTCAGAATTCTGAGTTTACATCTCACAAGTCTGACTTTTTTCTCTAAATCCTTAGCTTACATCTCACAATTTTTTTATTCCGAGGTAGAAACAAGTTTCCATATATACAAACACGTCACATAAGAGTGAGTTGCGAGACCCGCAGCTGCTTTCTTGCGGTCTGTGCTTTGATTTGAGACTGAGGAATGACCACTATCAAGGGTCTAATTACTCAGGTTTAAAGGGTCAGAAGGGTCAACTGAATCCATGCGTGTTTTATGGAGATTTAGGACGGTTTGAGTCTGTGACCTGAACAAATCCTCGAGTCTCCATAAGAGAACAAAACAAGGCAGAACTCTTCTTGTTCTAGTTAGGACAGAATGTTGACTGTTGCACAGCCCTGATTATGTTTCAGCTGCCAAATTAATGAATCCTGTCATACTCTGGGTACATTTGTGTACTGTGACCCCTGGATAAGGACTTAAGTGAAATAAGGACAAGGATAAGGACAAGTGAAAGTATGGTCAGAGTTGATGGGCATGTGAATATTACGTAAGAATCTACAGCCACTTGACAGTTGAACATGTCCAGAGGGGAAGTGGATAATCAGTAAACTCAGATTAATACAACAGTTTGTGTCATTATAATGGATGCAACGCTGGCTGCATCCCGAAACCCGGTGAGCTGCAAACCTGGCATCTTCATGCAATATGAGCAGCACTTCAAAGCATTTGATGCCCCAAAACACTTTACAAATTTGGAGCCCTCCTATGCTGTGCATGCCCAAAAACTTTGTCTTATGTTTGGAGAGCAGCTATGATGGACAAAAAAGCTACTATGCTACTATGGTGGCCAAAAATTATGGCAAGACAGTTTTTTCATGCACTGGTCAATTTTGAGATATTGGGCTATTTGGCTTTTCGTAATATGTTGTTTCAGACTAGAGGAATATATATAGACCCAAAATGCACTCTTAAGTGTTTATTTTAATGCATTTATCTATTCGTGTCTGTAGATTTCAATTACAATACAAATCTTTAAAAGTTTTTTTCTCCACTTCAGCAGCACTTACATACACTAAAATATAGGGTTTTATTCCTGTTTATATCCTGAAGGTTTTTACTGTGGGTTTGTTCATATTTCATTTGACCTGGTTTATGTAACATTTTACTTCTAAAAACATGGTAAAGATATATTTATCCTGGCTATTGACAGTATTTTTGGGGTGATAAAAGGGAAATACAAAATCCCCTCTGTAAAAAACCTTGAGCCCTAATATGTCAACAGAATAAAACAAAAATTTTGAACCAGGCTTAAAATGTTAAGACTTGCAAATTAGATATGCAAATTAGTGCATATTTAATTTAAATGTTGCATTATTTGCGTATTTAAACATAACATTTGAAGTCCCTCTCCTATATAATCCAATGCTTTATCATTTTGCGGGGCCGAAAACCGGGTGAAGAATTACACGCAGTTACTTTCTTGATTTTTGCTTATGAGTTATTGTTTTTAATAAAGCGAAACCATTTGTATATGGTGATTCGATAAACTTTCTTTTAATCAAGACTCTGAGTAATTTATTAAGGGTAATATATTATCTGAATTTAATTCATAAATCTTCAGCGCGGGTTTCATAGTGGAAGGACTCAGCTGAGCTGACCAGGACGTTTTGCTGTGGACCCTGGACCTTACATTACACTTCCCATTGATAAGAGGTAAGGGCTGTATTTAATCAGGACAGCTACAGATGGGGAATAAAGTGTATATATAAGGTTTATTGGTCCATTAAAGGCGAAATAACACAACACATTTCAACTGGGGCAGTATGGTGGGTGATTGATTGATTGATTCTATTCACTTGGTGCACATCTATTTATGCACTAAATGCACTCTAGGTTTGCATTTCACCGATTGTTGAGAATGCACCATTTTTTGACAAAGCTGCACACACTTATGATGGCCAAGGTTGACATCTCACTGGGTTTTGAGACACAGCCAGTGTGAGCTGTTACTCACCAGTCCATCACAGTTACTGATGGCCACTGAGGCCCTCGGCATGTCCGTTACATCCCCGGTAAACATGCAGTCTCCCAGCATCCGCTCTTTGGCCTGTTCCTCAAAATCCTCCTGCCACTGAACAAAAGCTCCAGGGGCCACGAGTCTCCTGTTGGCCCTCAGGCGCAAGTGCAGCTCTTTTCCAAACACAGTGACGTTGAAGAACAGCTGTTGCGCGTTCAGTGCCGTGGTGTGCGGCGTAACGGGGGCGTCGCGCGGGACCCGTTTCCTGCCGGTTGGTGACGCTCTCGCGGAAAGCACGTTAGAAACGAACCGGCCGCGAGCGTCAGTGCTGAACGGGACAATCAGACCGAATTCACTCAGCTTACCGGAGAGATTCCCTAACAAAAACAAACAGAACAGAAGAGTGCATTAAAATCCTGTATACTTATATATACTTATATATATATATATATGCTATATGAAGCAATATGCATGTGCAATATATAATACATAAATGCTATATAATTCATGAATATATTGTGCATGCATATTATATTATATTATATATATATATATAGAGAGAGAGAGAGAGAGAGAGGCTATATAATGCAATATGCATGCTCAATATATATACTGTATATATACATAAATATATAAGCTATATAAGGCCATATGTATATAATGCAATATGCAATATATATAATGCAATTATTACTTTTTATAATATTTATGTATTAAGTATGAATATTAAAACTTATGAAGTTAACTGTTCATAGACATATGAATGGACATGCATGCAAAAATTCGCATTCACTCAGTAGCCTATTTGCAGCAGAAACAATTTTGGCGACTTGATCTCGAGTTAATTCTATTGGAGTGTTTTTAACCCGTTCTTTCTTGCTAAAGTTCGTGAAGTATTTACTGTTCACACTAAAAACAAAGATAAACTCATATAAACCAGCTTCTCTTACCATGAGATTTTGCAGCATGTCTATAGTCCATAAATAAGAGGTTTATCGTACAGTACATGAATAGATAAATATAATCCATAGCTGTGGCGGTGAGAGCCAATGCAGGAGACTTTTCTTCTGGAAGTACAGTGGAAACTTTCCTCCTGGACGCGGTTCATGAGGAACGGTGTGTTGGAGAAAGTTGCGCGGAACTGCGGAGCATTGCGAGCGTCTCTCGAACTCCAGACTGAGTTTCTGCAGAGTTCTGATGGACTGAAGTGGACTGGACTCAGATGGGACAACCCATCACTGAGAGCTCATGACGACAGCTCGAGCAGAGGGAAGGAAGAGCAGACCGCCTGAAGCTCCACACGTGGAAAAATGGGTCATACATGGTTAAATGTGCTTTTAATAATCAGAGGGAATGCAATGGTTAAAAGAAGTTCAATGCATTGGAAAGTCTCTGTGGCGCTTTTGTTGGACATTTATACTTTAAAAACACACTGGTGGGAAAAAGGCAGAATTTGAAAAGGTCATTTAAAGGGTTAGTTTAACTAAAAACGAAAATTCTGTCATCATTTATGCACCCTTAGTTTCCATAAAAGCAGTCATTAAAACAGTCCATATGACTTATGCACTGCGTTCCACGTCACAGATTTTGAAATGCAATATTTGTATGTAGGCCTATATATATATATATATATAT